ACACGGTACAACCCACCTCTTCTCTCTCTCACTACCGGACCACTTGCCCATCCACTCTCTCTGTCATTCCAACTGCCATTCGCAGAGAAGTTGCTTCCAATCGATCTTCTCATCATTTTCTTGCACTGTCTTGTCTCTTGTTGTCTCGTCTCCCCTCCTCTCTGTTGCTCGCTGTTCCTAATGCTGACTTGCTGCTGAGTACTCCATCCTCATCAGTCCTCCATCCCCCAAAACCCTCCATCATCCGCCACCATCGTCTCTTCTTCTCTTTCCTCTCTTCCTCCCTCTCTTCTCTTCCTCTCTTGCCCATCACATTCTCGAACTTGTTTCAAAAAACGCTCATACATTCTGAATCGTGGTTTGGATAGCTATCGTTCTTCGGGAGAGAAAAGGGTCATCATCAGACATTATTCTTGTTATCTACTACTTTCTACAAAAAGAGTTGTTTGACGACTCGAGGCAAGGAAAAAAGAGACTCATCCTCCTCTTCACTATCTTGTCTGCTATTCGTGCACGTTCCCTTGTTGGCGTGGTTCAGAAGCAAAGCATTGTCGATCTCGTCTCCAACGTCAAGTCGTCACCACCACCATCATCCCATCTCGACCAAGAACAAGCCTCCCACGTCCTCTTCTCCTCTCTCGGACCCTCCTCCCAAAGCGAGGCACCCTCTCTACGAGTTCCCTCTCCAACACCTCCAACACATACACACATACGACTGTGAAGCAGGTGTCAAGCAGTTGTTGACGTTACCGAAACGCACCACGACTCCACGCACGCCTTGCTTACGCATACAGTTACCGACAGCATACGTTACTATTAGCCTGTAACATAATCAGTCTCATCTCAAGCCGTCAACTACACGACCACGCACTCCTTGTCTACTTCGTTTCCAGACTACCGCAACCATGCCGTACAATACCCGGCGCAAGTCCCTCTCCCTGCCTTCGCTCGGCATCCACGTCCCTACCTCCAAAGATTCAAGAGCCGCTGCTACCGCAAGCAAAGCCTTAAAAGAGCAACAAAAGGACGCTTCCCACACACGATCAAACACAGCAGCAAATATGGCCTCGTCCACTCCCTCAAAAACAAGCCACTCGAAAGCGGAGTCTACCTCCTCCAAGAAGCTGAAGCGCACCCACAGCGCTGTCGAGACCGAGGGCCGCGCGCATCCGTCCGAACCTCAGCAGAAGAAGCGCGAGGAGCGTGAGACTGTCAGGTTCCAAAATACACCCCCTCCTTCTCCGGGCGGCGCACGTCAATCTGTTGAGTGCGACGATCCCCCAAGGCCAATTGATTTCGAGGCCATCAATGATGATATTGTTGAGGCGGTCATCGTTCAGCTCCAAAATACTGGCAACAGGCCGCACTTGGTCAAGGAGCTTGCTGCCGTCTTGATGCAGCAGTTGAAGATTGTTCAGCAGTGAGTTTCACATCATGCCAATTGCCAATGCAAGATCATGTTTTGCTAACCTGTTCCTGTTTCCATCAGATCTGCCAACCCATGCGCCATTGTTTCCTCTCGCTTGTCTACCTACCTCAAGAGGACGTGCTGGAACGTCTCGTCTCCGTGCCCAATTGCCAAGGAGCTCGAGTCTGTTCACCCGCGCCGCACATATTTTTATCTCACCACATGCCCCCACCAGCCACTTCCCGACCCGGCTCAGGCGGCTGCGCTAAATCTTGCCTCGCGCGCTATCATCTCGCCAAGCATCTCAAGCGCCGCTTCGGGGACCGATGAGTCGGACCTTGACCGGCGACGTGAGCTTAGCCCCAGCCCCGAGGTGGATCTTTCGAGTCCCGAGTTCGACGACATGGAGGACGACGTCCCTATGCCCAGCACACCAATTGGCTCATTCTCCACACGCTACTGCCTGTCCGGGGCCCACTCCTCGAACAGCAGTCAGAACGGCCGCAACCACCGCGGTGTCTCTCCTCCGCTCGAGAAGGATGAGAAAGAGTTCACACAGACAGCCACTGGCTTGCAAAAACGGAAACTCAACGGTGAACTGTCTGCGTCTTCCCCCGTGAACACCGCTATGGACATTGACTTTTGCCCCAAGGATGATAATGTGTTGTTCGGTGAGCGGACGTCGTATCTTACGAGTCCTGCGATGAAGCCATCCTCGACCATGATGTCCTTGAACTACGGCCGCAAAGAAATGGGCGGTGCGAGTGAGTCCGAGAGCTGGCGCAAGCTCGATGCGATGCTCGAGTGGGATCGCAACCCGGAGAACATTGAGCTCGATGAGCTTGATTGCCTCTTGGATGATTTCTGATCGCCCCTTTTTCACATCATATTCTCATGATTTGTTTTCTTACGACAGATGTCGGGGTTTCTGGGCAACTTCCCAAGTTTTGGAAGTCAAGCCATGTGGCGCAACGGCGCAATGTGTGTACGATTTGAAGCAAGTGTGTGTGCTACCAACAGATCATTTTGAGGGCTTTTACAAGGAGTTTCAAGGGGGGTTATACAGGGGGCATTTACGGGTCGGTTCATCCCATAGAAGAGGCTGGGTCATGAAATGGCGTTTATGACTTGAGCTGATGTGGGCATGTCAAGGATGGTGTTTTATGGTTGGCTTTTTCAGATCATTTCTTCTTTTTTGCTTTCACGGGATCGATGGAAATCTCCCCCATTTGCACTTATTTGGTTTACAACAACTTCTTGCATTATTTCTTCCTTTGCGGTCAGTCATCCTTACCAGTAATGGGAAGACGGAAGGATGCCGCGGGCACCTGGAAAATGGTGCTTCGTGATGAGGAGAGAGAGGAACACGAATGGCCTGGATACCTAGGGATGGATTTTCATACATTAGGAGGACGGAGATATTGCGTTGTCAAGCGAATACCCTGGGCGCAGCATGTCGGTGAACACTGCGACCCAACCCACTTCTTTTTCGAGTCTCTTTGCAACAAACAGCAACAACTGGGTTTTTGGTTATCTATTCCACAGTTGCAAAGAGGCGCAGCAAGGCCAGTCAAGCGTATGAAACGGAACGAAAGAAGATGGAAAGTTTACTTTCCGGATTTCCTGCCCCGCTTCTCTTGAGATACAAGAGAGCGGGCAGTTATGTGGTGATACACAAAAGGGAAAAGCCCGAGAGAGGATGAGGTCAGAGGAGAAAAAAAAAATCATGTTCAGGTTTAAGATAGACAAAAGGACAAGAGGAGAAAAACATCTCAAAGAGAGAAAAGAAGCAAAAAGGTGGTTGAAAAAAACAAAAACAAATTTGGAGTTTTTATATACTGCTGCTAGAAAGCTCGACTCATTCCTATATCTTAGAAAGAAGACAGGCGCTTCCTTATTTTGCTGCCACATCTCGTTCATTATTACCTTGAGTGTTGGCAAATGTATGAATACTCGTTACTTAATATCTTCCCAACCTTTTCTACAAACCTTTCTACATCTCAATATTTGATGGTTGTTGTCAGACGAGCAATGGACCCTTGCTCACTTGCCCACGGGAATCTGCATATTCAGGGGACTACGGTATCTCGCACCGCATCAAATGAAGTGTTGCACGAATGAGTAACATCCCGATTCTGTGTGCGTGCGAAGTTGACATAGTCCTTCCGTGGGGTATGGGGACGAAACGAATCGCAGATCTGCAAGTTCATGAACAACCTTAACTAGTATAAACATGGGATGTCTACATGAAGCCTAAAAACTGAATACTTATCCTCCCTTCGACCCCGTTGGGTTTCTAAACTCGGAGCTCAAAAGCTCAAAGGCCGCAGCGTTTCTCCCGAGGGACCAACCAGGCCATACGCTATGTGAAACCAACACCAACAGTATTTCCCTACCTAGGTGCTTATCTCGCTCGGTGTCGCATCATCTGATCTTTTCCTACCCAATCTCCCTTCCTGCCTTTCTTCGGTGAAGGTGAAGGTGAAAATAATGGTCAAGAACTCTATCTCCTCGGTGACAGATGTTGAGCGATGGGGAAGCTGAACCAGCCCAACCCAACCAGCCCATCTATCCGCCAAGTCCCTATGCAATTATTCTCAGTGGTGGTGGCAGTGCCAGTGCCAGTTGAGTGTTGATCATCGAGTATATACCTTCATGTAGGTAGCAAGTGAAGGGGATGTGTTCGTGGATTTATGTTGATGTTTCAGGAAATGTATTCGGTAACGAGCTGGGGGGAATTGGCCTGGTCATTGCTCAGACTGTTGGGAGTTAAGTTGTTATGTAGGTTGGTTGATGAATGGAGGAGGACGGGATGGATGGGAAGTAGGGTTTCCTGGGCGGATGATTGTTTTGATCGAACGCTAGAGTTAAAGTTGAAGTTGAAGTTGGAGGAAATGGTTTGAGATATGTGGGTTGGTACCCTTGGGCTGAGGCGGTGGTGTTGATGGGTGGGAAGTGTGCGGGCTGGGGGGAAAGGGGAGAGGTCGGGGGGCGGTGGACTTTGCACCTATATCAGCCAGGTAGGCAATGTATGCGGAAGCGAAGAGATTTGATGTGTGAGGGCGCAAGGTGATGAATGAAGGTCTCGAGATGGACAGTCTTGCTGGGGTTGTGGTCACTCGCTCTTGGAGGGAGATGTAAGTGGGTGTGTGATATGTTTTTGATGTTGGTGTCCGCTGTGCCGCTGTATCAAGTTGCTCGATGTAGTCTTACGTTAGTTTAGATACTCGAAGGAACAACAAGTTCAATAACGTATATCTCGAAGAAGTGGTGGTTCAGTCACCGGTTGGTTGTGAAATTGACCTGTGATTTTCCTACTAATATCCTAATTCATTCATACATATGCGGTGGCATTGTTGGAATTCCGTAAAAAGGGAATCCAGTAAAGAAGTTTTTCGTACCAATCTGAAATAAGTTCTAGTATGAAATTTCTGTATCTCCTCAAGTCCCTAAACCGTGTTCTGCTGTGGTGCAGCTCGAGGTTGTTTGTGACGAAGCTGCGAAATGCGAAAGGGGGGAGGAGACTTGGAAGTTCCAGAGACGTCATTACATTATAGGCTAGACAATGAAGTAGCATGTCAACAAATTTCATGGGATTGTAGTATAGTGGTCAGTACTTCTCGTTGTGGTTTCAGTTCACTTTGTGACAAACAGAACGATCCGAGAGGACCCAGGTTCGATTCCTGGCAATCCCAATATTTTTCTTTTTCCTTTTCCTTTGGAAGTTTTCACCTATACTCCTCAGAATCCTGCGTTAGGTCTCGGGTGTTTTGGTTCCTTTTAGCACTCTTCTTCTATTTCAGTCGCGTTCTTGTTTTGAAATGTGATTATGTGGCTTGGCATGTTAGATCTTTTTTACCTCATTCGAAAGGTTAGAAATAGAAAGGTACAGGCAACTGATGTATTGTGGTGAAACATAACGATGACCTCAAATGTAGAAGAGCTGAGCTGTGGGGCTCCTGCCGATTGAGCAGATTGGTGCTTCCCAGTAGTCGGGGTCAGGAAAGAACAGATTGCTGCCTGACGCCTGTCAGCAAATCTTCCTCTCCCATTTGATCCTCCTTCCCCTCTCCTTCTCGCTCTCCTTGTCTTCGTCGCGTTTTCCAATAATACCAGCTCAACCCGACCGTCTCACGATCTTTGCCAACTGCTACGAACCTGGCTTTCCATAGGATTCCCGAGGCATCACGACGAAAATGATCTGCTCCGTCTGCCAGGCAACACTGCAAGCCGCCATCAACCGTCATTTCCGGGTCGCAAAGAATCAGGATGAGCGTTACTTCGTCCCGGCGACCCCAGATGAAGAACCGGATAAAGAGTACATCGAGGATCACCACAGAGACTTCAAAGGTTTCGATGATTCAGTCCTTAAAGACTGTCATATCTGTTCATTCATCTGGAGAGTGTTAAAAGAGGCCAGCTACATACTATCGTCAATCGAAGCCCTTTGGTCTGAAATTGAGACTGGAAAGCTATCCAATACCTATCAAAACGGTGCAACTCAATTACTTATGAATTATCGCAAATGCAAGGAGTATGAGTGCTTTACGCTTAACTTCAGAGTTATCAACAAACCCGAGACTATCGATAGAGGTCCTGTCTTTTTGGGTAAGGAGTTCTTGTACCCTTGGAGTTTTGTGCTTGAGGCCAGGCAAGGTAAGTCAAGCGAGCGCCTTTTTTCTTTTGTGAAAACCAATACCTAGTCCGCAGGCAAGGCACCATTAGATTTAGTTGTATAGAAAACAATGCTAACATCATGCACTGAAAGGGAGGATTTATGCCGCCCCCCATGCATGAAACAAGCACATGGTCTTTGGAAGCCCAGTCGATGTCAGTAGATTGGGTCAATGACTGCGTGACGAGCCATAAACAGTGCAGACCTCCCGAAAGTGACTCTACCTGGTTTCCGACGAGGGTCCTGGATATCGGTGCATCAGACGAGGTGCGGCTCATCGAATCTGAAGATGCAAACCTATCCGGCCCATATGTCACAGTTACTCACCGCTGGGGCAACGTTGATGAGGAGTTTGTGTTAAATAAACACACGCTCTATGCTTATCAAGGGAATACAACTGGATTCACTGCCCCGGTTATTCCAAGATGTCATTTCCGTGGCTCGCTTACTTGAAGTTCGATATCTTTGGATCGATTCGCTTTGTATAATACAAGATAAGGACGACAAGACCGACTGGGGGCGTGAAGCGTCTCTCATGGAAGAGGTGTACTCGAACTCCTATTGCAACATATCCGCAGAAGACGCCAAAAGCTGTTCTGAATCACTTTTCAATGTCCGAGATCCTCAATCAGTCAACCTGGAAACAACTTCATTAGAGATCGTAAGCGAGGAGAGTAATGTAGTAGTTCCAGTCCACTTCTACGTGTACAACTCTGAATTTTGGATGGATCAAGTTACCGACGCGTTGGCAAACAATCATGGCTGGGTTCTCCAGGAACCCATCCTAGCCCCTCGAGTCCTGCATTTCGGGAAACGTCAGTTGATGTGGGAATGCTGCGAAAAAGACGCGGCAGAAGTGTTTCCTCACGGACTTCATCCGGAACTCGCGGCCTCTGAAGATGTACGATTCAAATCATTCACCCTTGATGTGGAACAGCCTGGTCAACGGCCTCATTTTGCACTTCCGGATTGCCAGTTGTGAAGTTTTTATGGAAATGGATTGTCGAGAACTACTCAAACTGCGACCTTTCTCAGCCAGGAGATAAACTCGTTGCCATCTCTGGTATTGCAAAAAGATTCCAATCCTTGCTACAAGATACCTACGTAGCTGGCATGTGGCGGACCAATCTTGAGACTCAGGTGCTTTGGATAAAAGCTACATATAGTACCGGAACGAGACCAGATGTATACCGCGCTCCTACCTGGTTCTGGGCGTCTCTTGATGGTATGGTCTGGGTGTCAGAGTGGCCTCAAGATGGCTGTCAGATGGAAGTTGAAGATGTGTATCTCAGCTACGCGACGTCCGACAAGACGGGTGGGGTGACGGATGGCTGGCTACGGCTGCGGGGGGTTCTCTTGGGTACAAAGCTTGTCAAATCCGATGTGCATGAGTTGGCCTTTGATTTTTACTTGGAAGGAGACGAGATGGCTGCTCGACTTACATTAAGAATGGGCGTGTCACCCCGTGTGAACTTCGATGTCTTAGGGGACATCGCTGAGTATGAAGGTGTCGATGACCGGATTTATTCCATGATCGGGCACATCGGAAACGCTACAAGGTGGCCCGCATTGTTACTCTTTGGGGTAGTTGACGAGCGAAGAGGAGTGTTTGAGCGGATTGGCTTGGTTGAGATTGGCAACGAAGAGCAGGAAGAACAGATACGTTCTCTCGCACAGAAGCCAGGAAATCCAGCCTTGCCCTGCGCCGCGTTCAAGGACGGGAAGCATACCATTATTGTTAAATAGCAGATAGAAGCGAGGGTTGGAGATTCTGCAACGAGAGATGGCTATTTTTTGAAACGAAGACCGACGTGTCCGGTTCCAACTCAACTAAACGGCACGGGACTGCGTACTTCGATGAGCTTCCAGTCCAACAAGGAAGCAAAAATAGAAGAAATTTCCATAATGCTAGACGTCTACCAACATCTAGAGACACTCCTTTGTTGCAACTCAAAAATCGTAGAAATGAGAGGAGAATCAGAACGAGGAACGAGAAAGCCCGCAAACCAAACCTTGAGGCAGGAAAAGAAAACGGACAACAGAAAAAAAAAAGAATAAACAAACCCAACCACATATCAAGACTAACGACGCACAACCAAAGCAACAATACAAAGATACACAAACCATCAACCACCCCTCTTCGAGAAAGACACTCATCCATCAACAATAACATAGACAAAACCCAAAAGCCCAGCGCAGGACAGGAACATTTACATGCTCCATTCATCTAGCTTGCAATCCAATCCAACCCAACCCAATCCACCACCTATGTGTAGTTACCCATGCCGACTTACATGTCTTTAAAAAAGACTGACTTAAATGTCCTTCAAACAAACTGTTATCACCGTGAGTTCCCATTCCAGATAGTTGCGTTAGTTAGTTAGTCAGTTAGTTGGTCGAAAAGTTTGGCGTAGGGGAGTATAGATTTAGATTTAGATCAACCTAAGGGAGTCTGAGCAGAGAGCAGCCAGTAGCAGCACAAAAAGAGCGACCGCGGAAACCTAGGTACCGCGTGGAAGGAGGGAAGTAAACTAGTAACCTTGGGTATGAATAAGATTTTGGAGAGGATGAGTCTTGGACGGGTATGGTAGACGGTTGAGTTGAAGGATGAAGTGTTAGGGTTTCAAAACGGAAGGGATGAGGACATGACAGTTGTCTGGCAGATATACTAGGCAGGTAGTTGGTTACCGATTTATTAAATTTTGTCGGTTTATACAAGTCGGCGTACATATATGTGAGTTTCTAGAATAAGACTTCTAGGCCCATGGGTTGGTATGTGCTGCTTCAAGTTCAGACGATTGAGACCACGAATGTGATATTGTGCCGCACGCAAAAGAAATCAGGAAGCAATTTCATCGAGTCAGAAAGCCATTAAATCAAGATCGGGTCTATACAAGTTCAAAGTGGTTCTTTTCTCATACGAGGGTTATCAAAACAATAATCGCTCCCCCCTGCCTTTCAATTCCCAAACCACTTTCTTCCTCAGACGTTTATTCCCTTTCAACACTTGAACACATCCAAAATCTCACGTGTGACTCGGCTACCTATTACATCATCACTACGAATGTATGTCTGTTTGATCTTCAATCCCTACCGGTTCCTAATAGGCACTCCGATAATAATCCGCTAACCCATCATTCTGCCCCTGCCCCTGACCTTGCGCGCCCGGGGCACTTGCTCCTTCTTGACCACCAGCCGGTGCCGACGGAACTCCAGGTGGCACATAAGCCTTATACTGATGCTGCTGCGGTTGCTGAGCCGCAGGCGCCTGTGGTGGTGCCGAGCCGACCTCGCTACCAGCACCCTCATACGGTCCAGCATGTGGTCTCGAAGAAGCGGCTGCCGCGGCGGCAGCGGCTGCGGCCTGGTAAGGGTTCTGGGAAGCATACCCGCCGTGTGGGTAGCCGCCGGGAGCGCTGGGAGCACTGGGAGCACTAGGTGCTGAAGGAGCTGAAGGAGCCGCCGGCGCGGAAGGGGCAGGGCCGGAAGGAGGAAGAGGTGCGGATCCTACGTTGCTGTTGGGACCGGCTCCAGGGGCTGTGGCCGTGGGACTTGCTGGCGCGTAGGGGTCATCATTGGGAGCTCCCGGTGCTCCTTGGTTGTAAGAAGGTGCGGAGGGAGCGTTGTAGGATGGGTTAGAAAGGGGGTTAGTGCTGTGTTGAGCGATGGGCGAATCATAGGCTGAAGTGGAAAGTTCTTGGGGAGCACCACCGTTTGCGCTGCTGTATGAGTTCGTGCGGTTGTTGGCTCCGGATGCGCCAGGGGGTTGGTAAGGGGCGTACTGGTTGCCTGGCGGTGGTGGCGAGGAAGTCGTCTTCAATGGAGCGGGAACCAAGGGGTTAGGCCCCGATGGGATGCGTTGGTCTTGAGGCCTGGAAGGGCCACCGTATGCTGGTTGCGGTTGCTGTTGAGGATAAGACGGCTGCTGCTGATGTTGTCCCTGGCCTTCAGCACCACCCATGTAATAAGGCGCAGGAGTGCCAGCAGGACGGATGAAGTGGTTAGGGTTAGGCGACGGCG